CACACACACACACACACACACACACACACACACACACACACACACACTAACACAAACACACATACACAAGAGGTGTAAATCCGACCATGCAACCTCCACGTGGTACATCTTGGGTAATGCTAATGCTGGCAGTATTGACACAAAATTGAGGTATGGCATATTATATGCAAAAATGCTTTATTTCCGAAATATAAATTTGTAATATTGAAAATTAAAAAATGGCAAAAGCTACGCGTATATATGAGAGCAATGCATATGGAGAGAGGGAGAGAGAGAGACTATTTGCGTGTCCTAATATACATGTTCTCCGGGGCGAAGCCCGGCGGGGGATGCTAGTGAAATTGATAAACGAGCAACCTAATGACGATCCGCCGGCCGTCTACCTGTGTTTGAAATACCGCGCTGTATTGATATAGAGATAGTGGTTTGCTGCCATCTGTCGTAGTTGTCGAGTTCGTGAAAAGCTCTAGCGGGACCAATGCGGGCCCATAGTACCATGCGGAGAATGCGTGGCGCGCGCGCTGCGGCGCAACCATGCGGCGATGTAGCGCCACCCGACTTCCGGCTTCTTTGCGGAAGCGAGATTGTTTTCGAGCGAGCGTACGTCCATTACGCATCGGTCTCTTGTCGTGATAAGTCACGCAAATCGAATCAAACGGATTCTCTGTATTTTGATGTTGTCGAGTGGTGTAAACGTATTCTTTGATTTTGTCTACCGGTTCAAAGTTATTCTCGGTAGTAATTCTTCAAGAGGAGACATATAAAGATGCTAAACGACGCCTACGGATACGAAACTTACGGAGAGGAAAAAACATCCGCCGTTCGTACTGTAAGGAAGAGACGTCCACCATTGCAGCTAAGCTGAATGACGACGGCAATAACAAGGCCGTAAATTATTTGTACATGCTGCTAAGGTCTAAGTCCTCCTGTACGGAGAATACTTCCACAAAAAGTGGAAGCCCCGACACATCAGGTAACTCTCGTTGTTCTGAATAAAAGAATCATAGATCACTTGGAGTTGCTAAGGTGCGTTAGCTGAATGGCGATCTTTGATTACAGAACATTCGGGAGCCTTCATTATTTTTGGATGGAGATCACGTCATGTGAGCCCTTGAAATTGTCGGGCATCTCGATCCCATCCCCGAGCCTTCTCGATATTATTGACGAGGCCGGACGAGAAGCTTCCTTCTCACTGCTTGAGTACTCGATTTATTATATTTCACGGTTGCAACCACGCGTTAATTTAACTTCTCGTATATCAGTAAAGAGCTCTACCTTTTGTAAATATTTTCGTGCTGTGTCAAATTGCGTTAATTATTCAAAGTAAAAACGATACTGCAGTATTTAATACGATTTCTCATTGTTAGTAAAGATCTTACGGACGCATTGCGAATGTTATTTAATTAGAATTAACTATTCGACTTCTAGCGATCTTTCTTTTCAATTTCGATTTATTGCGAATACGATGTTGCTCAGTTGCAATATGTGACAAGTTCTCTATAAGTTCTATATTATCTTGTTTGATTTTATGGATTAATGCGTTTATTTGATACGAATTAATTGTGTCTTCGACTAAAAAGTAATGATCGTGGCAATTATAGTTTATTATAAAACTTTCTTATTAACTTGCTATTTATAAATAATTAGAATTATTTCTTTATGAACTTCTGTGATTTTACGTTTATTTAGAATCAGTTTATTAATCAGAGTTACGCATTATTCCATCAATAATATATATTCGTTTCTTGTGATTTATGATTGCATTTATGGTTTGTCTTTTCACATTGATTAAATTAATGGTCACTTCAACTTTTTGAGATATTCATTATTTCAGGACACATTTTAATTTGCATAAATGGTTACATGAAATGTGATACTTTCTTATTAAAATATTATTATTTTTCTTTCATTGAGGACATTGAAATAAATACTTGTTCTTAAAAACTTGACACTATTTAAAGTGAATTGGCCGTTAATAACTTTATGTATTCTGATTGATTAATTAATATCCAATAATTTCTTTATGTGATTTCTGATTTATATGCTTTATGACTTATGTGACTTCTGATTTATATGCTTTATGACTTATGTGATTTCTAATATTTATGAATTCTTATTTATAATTTACGGGAATTCTTACATATTTAATTATACATCGAAAGACTTAATAACTTATCAAAGATTATACTGTGCGATAAATATATCAACTAAACTTTATCAAATTACATTGAATGTTGCTTCCTTAACATCTCTCTAAGCTCACGTTCCTTTCGGAGCGTGTACAACCTGCCTTATCACTGTGTAGTCAAGATCGCGGGGCAGTCATTCAAAATACGTGTGGTCTTCGATGCATTCTGCAAAACCAGTACTGGAGTGTTTCTAAACGACGCGCTTAGGGTGGGATCAGTCGTTTAGCCAAATTTGATTTCCCTCCTGATTTGCTTTCGTCTTTTTCTATACGTCTTCGTGGCCGATATAATCAAAATGTACCGGCAGATTCTAGTAAACCCATCGCAGACACATCATCAACGAATATTGTGACGGAGCAAAGCGAACCACGACGTCAAGGCATACAAATCCTTGGTATCACTACGGCACTGCAGCTGCCGCATATCTAGCCACGGAATGTCTCAACGATCTGGCTGAGAAAAACGCATCGAGATTCCCGGTGGGATCGATCTACATTAAGGAAGGATATTGCGTGGATGATGTCGCGACCGGGGCAGACACAAAGAAGGATCTAGAGATAGTTCGCCATCAAGTGGTGGAAATATTACGATTAGGGGCGTTCGAATTGAGCAAGTGAGCATCTAATTGCCCGGAATTATTAAAGGACGTCCAGGATCAGAACCACGAGTCGGTAGAAATTTGCAGTGATGCGAACTCCCGCATTCTCGGAATCCAATGGGACCATACCAAAGACACCTTTCAAGTTTCCCACAACATTCAAGAGAGTCACAGTACCGTCTCCAAACGCACAATACTATCCGGGGTTGCCAGATTATTTCACCCCCTCGGTCTCCTTGGACCTGTCATTGTGGTCACGAAACTTATCCTACAAGACCTGTGGAAATCAGGCAGCCATTGAGACGAGTCCGTACCACAAGACATCTACGCGCGTTGGTCAAGACTAGAGCAACAATTGTCGGTTTTAAAACAAGTACAAGTTGCGCGGTGCGTAAAGTTTGCCACGGACCCTCTGCTAATACAAATACACGGGTTCTGCGACGCCAGCCAGCAGGCATACGGAGCCTGTGTACGTTCGGACGAAACTTGGCACCAGTTACCGCACCGAGCTGCTTTGTTCAAAATCCCGCGTGGCCTCACTCAAGGCCATATCGCTGCCAAGGCTGGAACTACAAGCGGCACTGTTATTGGCTGAATTGCTGGATAAAGTCAGCACATCGATCGATATAACGCATTTCAAGAAAGTTCTCTGGTCTGACGCTACCATTGCCCTAAACTGGATAACTTCGCCTTCCCGGAGGTGGGAGGTATTTGTTGCTAACCGAGTTGGTAAGATACAACGTTTAACTAAGATAGAAGATTGGAGGCACATTCCGTCAACAGACAATCCCGCCGACATACTATCACGCGGACTCTGTCCGCACGAACTCGTGGACGCAAGTTTATGGTGGCATGGACCCATTTTTTTACAGTACGAAAAATACCGCTGGCCAAGCAAGGATATCACTCGCCTAGGAGATGATCTTCCCGAAAGACGAGAAGCAGCGGCAGCCGTCATCATCAATCCTTCGATCGTCGACGGGTTAACCAAGAAGCATTTGAACTTGAACAAGATATACCGCATTATAGCATATTGTCTCAGGTTCTACAAGGCGCATCGGCCGACTCCGGCCACCGAATCCGTTTCTCACAACGAGATATCGCACGCATTAGGCGTCGTGTGCAAAGCAGTGCAAAGGAGCTCATTCCCGGACGAATACAGAGCGTTGAGCAATGGGGACTCGGTCCAGCGTGTCCAGCAAAATACTTTTCCTGTCTCCCTTCATGGACAAAACCGGGCTGGTCCGGGTAAGGGGTAGATTAAAGAATTCCGAGTTAAAATTCGACGCGTGCCAACCCATATTACTACCTTGCGATCACGAGTTTACAAAACGTACAATAAGACAAGAGCACGTGCGTAATATGCATGCCGGGACTCAGGCAACTATGGCCGCAGTCAGGCAGAGATTCTGGCCTTTATCACTTCGCTCAACCGCGCGAAAAATTATTTGAAACTACGTGACATGCTTCAGAGCTAAACCGAGCCAGTCAGAAGCCGTAATGGGCTCGTTATCTTCTAGTCGCGTTACCGTTTCAAGGCCATTCTCGCACTGTGGTGTCGACTATGCCGGGCCCGTCACGGTGAAGGAGGATAAGCGACGCAATGCCCGCTTCCATAAGGCGTACATCGCTATTTTCGTGTGTTTTGTCACAAAAGCATATCGGATTAGTAAGTGACCTCACATCGGAAAGCTTTATTAGCGCACACCGGGAATTTATGTCCCAAAGAGGCAAACCCGCTTGCATGTATTCCGACAATGGGACCACGTTCGTCAGAGCGCATAAGCAGTTCAAAAAATTTTACGACTTGATCAACGACAGTCAGGTGCGAAATGATATAAAACAGTTTGATCGCGAGCAGGAAACTTCTTGGTCTTTTATCCCGCCTAACGCGCCGCACTTCAGCGGTCTATGGAAAGCCGCGGTAAAATCGGCCAAGTATCATATGGCTCAAATTATAGGCAACGCGTATTTAACCTTCGAAAAGATGCAGACGGCTCTTTGCGAGGTGGAAGCGATCCTGAACTCTCGACCACTCACGCAACTAAGCGATGATCCAAACAATTTCGCGTATCTTAGTCCCGGTCATTTTCTTGTCGGTACGGCTTTGAATAGTTTCCCTTGCCATGATTTACACAACATTAACGAGAATCGGCTTACACGCTGGCAAAGGGTAGAGCAAATAAGGCAACATTTTTAGCGTAGATGGAGCGCTGAATACCTTAATTTCTTGCAAGAACAAACTAAATGAAAAGCCAATAAGGGCAGTTAAAACCGGATCGATTAGTGCTTGTAAAACAGCAAGGCCTGGCTCCTTTGCAGTGGCTGTTGGAGCGAATTCAAGATGTTCACACCGGAGCCGACGGCGTCACGAGGGTCGCCACGGTCCGAACAGCGAAAAGTGCTTTCATGAGACCCCTTTCTAGGCTCGCGGTGTTACCCATAGATACTTAAGCATACTAATCTCACGTGGATGTCAAACTTCGCGTTTAGTCATAGTTAGTGTTAAGGATCGTACAAAGCTCTTGCCACTCCTACCTCATAAGCGTTTATTTATTCATAAGTACGAATACTATTTCATTTTATAATTGACCTAGTCATCTTAAATTCCAGACTTAGTTATACCACTTTTTGTACCATGCGCCTCCAATTCAAAGGAGTATTATGTAACTATTCTGATGTAAGCACCTATCCTCGCGTTGTGTTCTTTCGTCTTGAAAGTACGTCCTTTCAAGGGGGCGGCGTTGTATGATATATGCCGAGTTTGCTCCTGTTTTACCGATTCACGATTACCCCGCGCTGTCGTGTCTGCTATTTGCGGGCGCTCTCGTCTTATTCCGCCTAATTACGGCCGTGCTCGCAGCGGCGTCCCCCCCCCCCATTAAGGTAAAAATACCAATAACTTAAGCATACGAAGCAAATAAATCTTAAATCTAATACATAAAATTAATTTTATGCTACAAAAAACTTTTTTATTTAGGAAGTTATAACTATTTTCTGCTTAAACGAATAAGAAAAGTGATATTTTTTGCGGTATTTTATTTAAATTAAATAAAAATGTAGTAGACATCGATGTACCAATACATGACCAGCCAAAATGCGATTGTCCCAGCGTCCAAATTATGAGGTCCTAGTAACTAGCCATAAATTTTTAAGTGTTGTGACGTGACATTCGTCGCGTCCTCCGCCCAGACGGTAGCTCGGCCGAGGGAACGGTCAGGGATGGCGCCTCGACTCGGGTCGAGGAAGGGCTGTCTGCGTTAACTAACCTTTTTTAGTCAAGTTCCGTAGGAATGACAGGTAGTGCCGGAGCGGGGGATCACCGACCACATGTAACGGCGAGAGTCGCGACGAGGGAAGGACGGGCGCTCGGAGGACGTACGGCGGAGTGGTCAGCCGACGGGCGGGCTACCGGGGCCTGCCGCTGGAGAAGCGCCGGAAATGTCTCGCACAGCATGACACGGCCCCACCGCAGCATAATCACGGGTGCACCACCGCGACTGCAGTGCGGGTGGACGACCTGTACACTTCACCCGACGGCGCCCAGAGGGCCGAGCGGCGCCGCCACGGCCTGGCCAGCCGGGCGGGCAACCGCGAGGTGCCCAAGCACACTTAGCAGCCAAATCAAACGGGCCGCGGGAAAATGGTGGAAATTGTTTGCAACGTCGCGAACAGGGCGACACACATGACCAATCAGCGGGGCGAAAGGACCGCGAGCTTGCGGGCGCGCGTGCGGGGGCCCGGCGTGGTCCCGCCGAACCGACCACTCTTCACTGTCGATTCAGCCACGGACGAGGAGCCACCCCAGGACGAGCGCCCCGACGCCGCCGAGCAGCAGCGAGGGGCGTATCCCGTTTGGACACGTAACGATTCGACACCGCTTGATTAGACACGCACTTTTGGACACGTTACTATTGAACACCGCACGATTCGACACCGTATGATTCAACACTGCACGATTGGACACCGCACGATTGGACACCGCATGATTCGACACCGCACTTTTTGACACGCACGATTCGACACCGCACGATTCGACACCGCACTTTTTGACACGCACGATTCGACACAGCACGATTCGACACCGCACGATTCAACACCGCACGATTCGACACCCACAATTCGACACCGCACGATTTGACAGGCTCGATTCGACAGCGCACGATTCGACAGCGCACGATTAAAAGCGAGAACTGATATAAAAAATTAGAAAGTAACAGAACTCGCAAAGAAAGATAATAAATGAAAAACTATTACGTTTTTTTTAATTGTGTTTATTTTTAATTTTATATATTATCATATACATAGTGTCATCATATACATAGTGTCTCAAAGCACTACCCAACGCTTGTCGAAAGGTAGAAGGAGTCGAGATTAACATAAAAATCGCCTACTATTTTGCGGCATTCGCAATAATTATCGAGTTTTTAAATGTTAAAATC